GAAACACTGGTCCTGGGAGCGTCTCCCACCCCCTGGGCTGCCCCCTGTGGCTCTTTTTAGATCCTTGGGGACAGGCGAGCGTGTTTATGGCCAGCTCAGAAGAGGCAGAGTGACAGGCTTGGACCTCGGGCTCTCCTCCGGTTTTCTTGAAGGTAGAGGAGGAGGCTACAAGATGGGTGACCACAATAGGACCGTGGTGGGGGGCAAGGGCAGACCAGACAACCATGGTGGGGAGGCGCAGGCAGCTGAGGCATGGAGGGTGACAGAAGCAGCAGGGCTGATGTCCCCATCCTGGCCCCGCAGAGCCCTTGCACAGCTGGGCTGGGGCCTCGTGCTTTGGATCACACACACGCTCTGCTCTGGGTTGGCAAAACACCACAGTTCCGAGGGGCAGCCCAGCAAATCCTTCCTCCCACTGCTCCCTCCTCCCCTCCACTCTCAGCCAACTACTTCCTCCACCGGGGATGGCAGGGACGGGGAATCCCTTTGCCTTGGCCATCTTTAGCCTGGGTCTCTCTGAAGCTGGAGCAAGCAGAGCCCAACCCGGGCAAAAGGGAGCCCCTCTTTAGGGGCCGGATCCTGAAGATCCAGCTCAAAGGGAAAGGCCTTGTTTAGACAAGACATGGCAAGCACGAGGTCCCTGCCCTGGTGGAACGGCTTCAGTGGCTGGAAGAAGCTTGAATATTGACTTTCAGAACATTAAAATTTGAAGGGGGGGCGGGGGGGAACCAAACCTGTTCATGGTTTCTATGTATCTCCAGCCTGAGGTTTTGCATCCCCTGGGGAAACGTCATTCCTTGGCTTCTGACCCTTTCATCAAAAGCCTCCAGCATTTAGGCTTCTAAACACTTCCCCAGCAGCAGGATGACACCAGAAAAGGGGACTGACCCTTGGGTGCTCCTGTCACCCAGTCGTGTGGTGACACTCAAAGTGCCCGGGCTTGCATGGGACAACAAAGAGCTTTTAAATTCACCAAATTATCACTAAAATCTCACCTTTTTTTACAGGCAACATCCATCGGACTCTGCTTTTTAGATCTCCCCAGTCAAGCAAGTTCCCTCTGCAGCGGAGAAAGGGACTTCAATCCCCTGCTTCCCAAGAGCTCATTTAACAGCAAGCAGTAGGGACTGGAGGGATGACAAAGAATTTTAATAGAAGGCAAATTAAACACTTTATAACTCACTTCCAAATTGATTTATATGGCCAAGGCTGCTCCGCTACCCTTTCACAGAGGAAAGATCCCTAAAGCAAACACCTTCAAAGGACTGATCCAACTCTCCTTGAAGTCAGGAGCGGCTGCAAGTCAAAGCTGGGTCTAAAATGTGCACAAAACCCCCTAAACCCCTCCAAATCTCCGTGTGATAGATCGCTTCAGCCATCCCC